GAGGCTTGCGCAATACCTATCCTAACTAGTGAAGCCGACTAATCTGAATTCGATGGGAGAACGAATTCTCCATAGAATCATCATCAAATACGCATACATCGCTCGCTGTGCCAACCTATCTGGTGGCATGCGTAACACATATGTCAACCAACGTAATCTATGGAGGTCGATCACTTGCTCCAGTGGGCGACCGCGATTGCCTAAAACTCTGCACCTAACCTCAGCATTGCTCGTCCGACTGCCCCACCAGATTCGTTAATGCTGTGTAGACAGCGGTGTTCAAACACCGACAGTCTATCTTTATCCTGTTTCCTTAATAGCCAAGTTTCTACGCTGTATAACAGAAATGGCCGAACTGCTGCAGCATAAACTCGACCCTTAACAAATAGCCGGATGTCGCGACGGCACCACAGATGTCTCAAGTTGGCAAATGCTAACCGAGCCTTCTGTATACCAGCTGACACTTCATCCGTGATGCGTCCACCGGGTGAGAAATAGCTACCCAGATGGCAAAATTTGTCTACTTGCTCTATAACTTCCCCAGTTAGGGTGAGGCTGGGTGCTGGACCAACCCAGTCTAGAAGTAACTTTTTACACTTTGAAGGTGCAAAATGCATACCGAACCTGGTTACCCTAACACTCAAACTATACAGAAAGGCTTGTAACTTACCTGGATCATCACTTAGTAGCACAATGTTTGCATGTTCTAGATCAAACAGCCTGCCACCTGAGAGTAAATCGATACAACTATCCTCGCACAATGATAGGGCTAGTTCCATAATCAGCTCTATCACAAAGTTGAATAGAAAAGGAGAGAAAGGGCAACCCTGTCGAACACCACTTTCCGTAGTGAACTCGGGTGAAAACGTGCCGTAAGCTCCAACTCCACTTCGGCTATTAGTATAAAGGGATTGTAATATTGAAATAAACTTCTCGAGCACACCTTTCAGGGAAGGGCAGCGCCAGAGTTTACAGCGGTCGACTGAGTCAAAAGCCGCTTTCAAATCGAGGAAGACAGAGATGGTGGGTCTACGAAAAGAATGTCGGTGCTCCAGAGTTTGGCGAAGAGTGAAGATGTGGTCGATACAACCTCGACCAGGTCTAAAGCCAGCCTGGTTCTCACGCGTGCACTGTTCACGTGCGGCACACAATCGACCGTGTATGATCCCAGAGAGAAGTTTAGAGACGATATTGATTAAACTAGTTCCTCTGTGGTTTTCACAAGAGCATCTGTCACCTTTCTTGTAAATCGGTATGATGACCGATTCACACCATTCGGTTGGAACCTGTTCTCTCTTGACAAAATATTAAAAATCGGTTTTCGTAGCTCGGGTGAACTGAATTCCATTTCGTCTGTTCGCCGAGCTTGGCAATTTGTTTGCAAACGTTTCATCACCAGCCGAGGTGACATCATCAGTGCTTGTGAAGTGGCTGAGCCTCCATCCTTGAAAGCCGATGGGAACAGCCCGTCTGGGCCGGAGGCTTTGTGCCCTTTTAGATAACCTATTTCCCTGGAAATCTCCATTTCAGATGGAGAACTAGCATCAACTGGGAGTATTTGCCCAGTCGGGGTGGACGGTGATAGCTCAGATGTCGATGGGGGCCAGTTGAACTGAGCCTCGAAATGTTCAGCCTATCGATCAAGACGGCGTTGCTGATCGTAAATCAGTGTGCCATCGAATTCCCTAATTACTTCACCGTTGTTTATTCGCTGAGTGGGAGGGGGCGAAGTGCCGTCCTAGAGAGGCTTTGAATGCGCACGGTGTTGCAACCTGCGCGTTAAAATCACCTGCCAGCACTATAATATCAGATTTGCAGCTCAACCGAATCAGTTCGGAGAGTTTGTCGTAAAATTCGTCATTTTGTGAAGCGGGACCGCAGCTGGTTGGTGCATACGCGGAAATGATGAACAAACACTTTTTGGTGTTACTTCCTTTGTGAACACTAACTGAACCCTGTAACCTCATTGCGCATAGACTATTGACGTGTATCAAATCTAACATAGAGGCTTCAGTTTTATCGTTCAGTACGATACCTACACCACGCTGACCAGTGAGCGGGCTGGGTAGTCTCCTGATGTGCGAAGGAAATACCTCGAGGACAGACCCGGCGCACTCAGGTGGCTTATAATACTAGGATCCTGAATTCGTGTCTTCGATACGCAACAGACATCGATTTCTAGAGACTGCATTGTACGCGCAAGACTCGCTTGTTGACCCATCTACATGAGAGTCCTCACGTTGAAAGCCCCCAAATTGAGAGGTTGAGGAGGCTTCAGAATCTGCACTTTATTTACAGGAAAACTAGTTACAGTGCTATTTGGCAAAGACCTCTGGCGAGTGACGACCGAGTTGTCTGAGGAAATATTACTGGTCGGAAGAAGGTGTGATGAGATAGGGTGGGGTACGGTAGACAAAGAATTAAACAAAAGTTGGGATATCTGAGCAGTAGTCCACTTATCACTACCCACCCAGCTCGAAGCAATGGGCAGTGCGGTCCTGATTATCCTGCGCGACGACCGATGAAGTATGAAATTATTTCCTGTTTGTTTGTTCATTGGAGCTTTGTGAACGGGTACTGCTAGGGTGTCCAGTCATTGAGCAGGAGAACGATTAGGGTTCTCAACCAAAGCCTTTGGTTCTGACAAGAACATAACCGCAAGGCAGCGGTTAAGGCGGATTGGAGGCCCATTGACTTGGATCAATTATTCCTCCAACACGTTTTATTGACTGAGACGTCGAACCCCCCAACCTGGAGGACCAGGAGATTAGACTTCGTCTGACCTCTAGCCATTGACTTCCCAGGTATGATTAGATGTTTGGTTCGGTAAAAGCCATCCTGTGTAGCTCGTTGGGTCATAGAGGTGCACAAGCCAGCACACCACGTCAAGGTGCAGTCTCGTCGTGATGGGCGAAACATATTTATGCGGGGCGAACCACATAAGGCCCCGCATAAATACGAGAAGCAATTAATTGTAGTCGATTTCCTATATTAAATTCTCAAAGGGAGTGTTAGTGACATCTATGTTTGCAGGATCACTTTGCACTTCAGAGGTGCAAAAGGCAGAAAAGTACACCGAACCCGAAATGGTCCCTAAGGAACCAAACTGATTCTCATCACATATTATTCACGGAACTATCAAAAGTGAGAGTTCCACAGATACGAGACATTTTGGAAACAAACACAAAGTCAGTTCACAAATCAGTTCAACTCACGTGCTTCATCCGGTTCAACTTCCATACACATTGGAACGATTATCCATAACTGGATGGGATGGTGCGTTTATCACAAATTGTCAAAACTCACCTTAACGGGTGTGTATTCGGTGTGGATGAAAGTGGTTAGTACTCGGGCAAGGTTCGCAGTGTTCGGTCCATTCAATCGTAAACTGATTGCGGGCAAACCAAGATGACTACCCCAATGAAGTTGTTTTTGTAGAGTCACTTCGTTTGTCATGCGTAACCAGTCAATATCTGAGTCAACATCAATATAATTGGAGACTTTTCCGACCAAGCATTTTGTTATGTTCTTTCCTGAAAACGAGAATTAAGTGAGGAACTAGCATTACCATCTTTTTGGAAGACGAGATCCGAACGCGTAGATGGAATTCCGTGTCGTGCAGTCAACTCAGTGGAATTGGGAAGGAAGACTTTCGGGTGAAATAAGTCAAAGCTTATAAATGAAAAACTTGACAGTACAGTTAATATCTCGATGTAAGCTGCAGATAGTTACCCAGAAGACAAAGCTGCCGTATATTGGGATACCAAATCGCTTGTAAACGAGAGATCCAAGCCGACGAGCGCACGATCTCCCATGATGATCGTAGCAAATTACCTGAAGAGAAGAGAGAGAAGTTAATGCAATACGTGGAAACAGATCGGAATTTCGGTTCAATTACTTTGCTCGTAAAAAATCTTTTTGTTGGACAAAATGGAATTCGTGTTTGAAGCGAGCTTAAACCAGATGTAATTTTGTAATGATCAGGCTGAAAACTTGCACAGATCCTGATCGAACCGTATAACGAACAGTAAGAGGTGGAAACAGTAGCAGTAGTAGTAGTAGTAGTAGTAGTAGTAGTAGTAGTAGTAGTAGTAGTAGTAGTAGTACTGTTTATTTATGAGAACCAACAACTAAATCGTCAGAATACAGTGGAAGCTTATCAAAGTTTTCATTAGGATGTATGATGTCGAATAGGGAAGAAAAACTAGTTTTACCGCATATTTGTGAGAGACACCTTTCTAATACAAACTATAGTGTGACGAAAATCAACAGAAATAAATACGATACCTATGACACTCTGTTTCTACGAATGATAACTGGTTCCTGTAGTGGCAACTAACACAAGGCCACAGTAAAGCAGGTCTAGTATTGACCCAGAAAGCCACAAAAATGTCTGTCCCCGAATCGGAGTGAGCCAAATAACTGACACCAGAGCAGCTAATGTGGGATGGTTAGTGCAGGTAATTTGATATGTTAGCACCAATAATTGAGCACGATGAGAATATCAAATCAATAATAACGTAGATTCGACTCGACCGTTTTTCTGCTGAACGAGACAGCTGCATACACCCTCAACTAAAGGGGTTTCGCCAGTGAAACGAACGTGTAGACCAGACTATCATCCTTGGTAAATATTTTGAAGCATCGTCACACACTCCAACAGCTACCGTCTGTTTCATTGAGTTACGCACTCAATTCGATTCGGTAGCCAGGGGTCACTTCGGAAGATATTTCAGGCTGATTTTGAAAATTTTTGAACCATAATATTTGAAGACAGGCAAGAACTCATGCCCACAGAGGAATCAGTGTCCGTCTCGATTTTGGTGTTAGAGAGGGCTGTCATCTATCAGAGGTATTGTTTAACCTTTTTCTTTAGTTTGAATAACCATTAACTATGCACCTTCATCGGTTTGGGTTGCTGTCGCTTGACTGGTAGAGGCCAGAGGAACCTCAGTCTCACAGGGCCAGCTGCTTGGGCACCTGGCCTCCTTCATCTATCCACACCCGCTCCTAGAGAGGCCACTGCAGCAAATAAATACGACGAGGGGCAGTTAACCGGTCAAAACCCCCGCTAGATAGATGCAGGAGCGGGGTACCTAGGGTTTCTTCTCGACGGTGGGAGAAGTCTTCGCACTTCATTAGACAGCTACCACCCACTCCCAAGCCGGGCAGCCCCACCCAATAAGGTGCTGCCTCGTCCACGTTCCGCTTGTCTCACTGGGTGCATCAGGCTAAGGGCCGATCCCGAAAAGCGGACCGAAAATCAACGCACCAGCGAACAACACAAATAATCGAAATTCAAATGCCTTGCGTGATAGGTCTCTAGAAGCTCCAATACAAGTGCTTCGTTCACGCTCCCACGCCCCACTGCCTTGTGGGTCTGAATTTTGAGTCGAAGAGTCAGGTTAGGGCTCCCAAAGAAAAACCCCTTCGTCGGTGTGGGCAACCGCGAAGTATGCAGTGCCCTAAAGTCTTAGGTACCCATTTAGAAAAACCTCTTTCCGATCTATCTAGTTCTTCCTCTCAATCCCGAATAACCCCAGACGCCTGTTTACGCCACCCATCGAATATCATTCAGCGTTGTACCATCAAGGCCAAACAATCAGAAGATACAGGATTTTTGAAGCCAAAATCCCCTTTTCACTTAGCCGCGTTCAATGTACACACACTATCAGATTGGTCATCAACATCATCATCATCGTACATCGAAATGCAGTGAAGCGAACTTCGCTGATCGCTGCCAAACTCGCAATACAATGCACCAGATTGGTCAGCAAGCTGTCTTAGCTAGAACCCTTGAAACTTTCAATGTAGATGTATGTTGTGTCTCCGAAACACGCATACAAGACCCTACTACAATCATTTCCCTGCGTTCTCCTGATCCAACCTCGACCTCACGTTTTACCCTCCATGTATGAGGCGATTCGGCATCCGAAGCCCGCGGTGTTGCTGGTGTCGGGATTGCGCTAAGTGCCAAGGCTGAGCGCTCACTTCTTGACTGGATTCCAGTCAGGAGCCGACTGGACGCCCTACGTCTCAACCGCTCAGCACGTGTCAACAGCTACAGAATGAAGCGTCGGTGCTTATTCGTCGTATCGATATATGCACCAACCGATTGCAGTGCATCTGAAATGAAGGATGAACTTTACAAGGATCTCTTCCAACTGCTCCAAAGTGCTCGATCAACAGATATCGTGGTAGTCGTTGGAGACTTCAATACTCAAGTGGGATCCCTGGACGACCCAGAAAGGCTTCTTAGTGGACCACATGCAATCCCAGCCAACTGGACGGACAACGGTGATCGCCTACTTCAACTCTGTGCGGACCACAGATTGTACCTGTCAAACACGAACTTCTCGCACAGGAAACGACACAGACATACATGGAAGGCACCAATCTCTTCACTGCGCTGGACCCAAATTGACCACATCGCCATCAGTTACCGCTGGAGAGGGTCGATTCAAGACTGCCGTTCTTACTGGTCCACACCTGTGGATACGGATCACACTTTGCCACGAACCAAATTCTCCTTACGCCTGGCAAACAACCGCAAGAAAACCACCGACAACGGATACCTACGATACAGCGTCAGCGATTGCTGCAAATCGGCATTCGAAGCGGAACTCTCCGATCGCCTATCAGCTCAATCACCAGTCGAAGGACTCAATGAACACAGGAAGCAAATCAAAGAAGCTATGCAAATATCGATAAAACAACGCCGGACTATGCCACAAGCTCAAAACCCAAACGATGGACATCGTCGACCTCGGCTACCCTGCTGGACGCCCGCCGAACCCTCCCTCCCGATGCCACATGACACAGAGCGCAAATCTCTCAAACGCCAACTCATCAAGAGTCTGAGAAATGACCGCGAGAAGTGGTGGACAGGATAGTGTTGAGAGATGGAGAAGGCTGCGGCTATTGGTAATAGTCGAAATCTTTTATGTCTAATTAGGAATACGGGCCCTAGGAAAATAGGTATGAAGTAATTAGGGAATTCGATGGCACACTGATTTACGATCAGCAACGCCGTCTTGATCGATAGGCTGAACATTTCGAGGCTCAGTTCAACTGGCCCCCATCGACATCTGAGCTATCACCGTCCACCCCGACTGGGCAAATACTCCCAGTTGATGCTAGTTCTCCATCTGAAATGGAGATTTCCAGGGAAATAGGTTATCTAAAAGGGCACAAAGCCTCCGGCCCAGACGGGCTGTTCCCATCGGCTTTCAAGGATGGAGGCTCAGCCACTTCACAAGCACTGATGATGTCACCTCGGCTGGTGATGAAACGTTTGCAAACAAATTGCCAAGCTCGGCGAACAGACGAAATGGAATTCAGTTCACCCGAGCTACGAAAACCGATTTTTAATATTTTGTCAAGAGAGAACAGGTTCCAACCGAATGGTGTGAATCGGTCATCATACCGATTTACAAGAAAGGTGACAGATG